CAAATATACTCTAGGAAAAATTTCTTGCACCCTTATAACCTGTGACTGACAACTTACCAAAGGGTTGAATGAAAGTAGTATTATGCCCTGATTTTTATCTAATCCTTGGCTAAATTTACATTTTTTCAATACAAAATAACAAGGTTGCTTATGCATACTAGTTTGAAAAGCAAGCCATGACCTTTAAAAACTTAAACTGAATTTCCTTCTCTTTTGTTTCTTGGATTTAATTAAAAGCCACTTTTGACTAACATGCCCAAACTGGAGACTACATCTAGATCATTCTGATAAAAGTAAATTAATATTTTAAAAAGAAAAAAAAGTAGAAAATAAGGCAGTCTGGTATGTCAAAATCAACATATACACTGTACTGAGAGAGACATGGGTTCAAATCCCAACTTTAGTAACTAGATATCTATGGTGGAGTCACATTAATTTTCAATCCTCTATAAAATGGGGATAATAACTCCTTATTTTTCAGAGTTGCTGTAAGTAATAAAAAAGAATGTATGTAAAAGTATATCACAACACACTGTGTCATGAGTTCAAAAAAGAATTTTCTTCCATTTGCTTCCTCTCTGTATTAAATACCGATGATTTATAGTCAAACATAATTTTAAAATATTTACAAATAAAGGTAGTTTGCTTACAAATGACGCACCAAATAAAAATCTGGTGCATCACATGTGTAAACCACTATTTTCAATGGCTTCCTAAACATCATCTTTTTGTCTATCCTAACATGAAATCTTAAAAAAAATAAAACTAGGTAAAAAGATGAAATACATGCCTTTTCTGATTATTCTTTTTTCATAGTTATCACTTAATTTAACTCTGGTCAACAAAAACTAGAAGAATACAGAATCCTCCACCAGAAATTCCACAAGACTTGTGGAGGGAATTGAGAACTATTTTTCATTAGTTTAAGTACAGTTGATGACAATTACAATTTTAAACGTCGTAGTTTTTGTATCATGTTTTACTTTCAATGTCGATTATCTTGTTCAATTTTCAGAAGGATAAAAAATTATAAAATAATAATAGCTAATGTTTCTGTACCTCTTACTATATGCTATGCTTTGTTCTAAGAACATTACCCTCATAACAACCCTCTAAGGTAGGTACTGTTATTGTCCCCATTTTGTATTTTTTAAAAATTCCAGTATAATTAGCATACAGTGTTATATTAGTTTCAGGTATATGATATAGTGACTCAACAACTACTCAGTGCTCATGACAATGAGTGTCTTCTTAATTCCCTTCACCTATTTCACTTATATGCCACACCTGCCTCCCTTCTGACAACCACCAGTTTTTTCTGTTTTTAAGAGTCTGTTTTTTTGTTTTTCCCTCTTTTGTTGTTCATTTGTTTTCTTTCTTAAATTCCACATGTGACTGAAATCATAAGGTAATTGTCTTTCTCTGACTTAATTCACTTAGCATTACACTTTCTAGATCCATCCATGTTGCAAATGGCAAGATTTCATCCATTTTTATGGCTGAATAATATTCCACTGTATGTATGTATGTGTATATGTATTTATGTGTGTGTGTGTATAACTCATACCACACATACATACACCACTTCTTCTATCCATCTATAGATGGATATTTGAGTTTCTTCTGTATGTTGGCTATTTGTAAATAATGCTACAATAAACACATGTATTTTATGTGCATGTATACTTTTGAATTTGTGTTTTCATTTTCTTTGGGTAAATAAATATCCAGTAGTAGATTTCCTGGGTCATATGGCCATTCTATTTTTTAAAATTGTGAAGAAACTCCACATTGTTTTCCATGGTGGGTATACCAGTTTGCATTCCCACCAACAGTGCACAAGGGTTCCTTTTCCCCTACATCCTCACATTTACTGGTTTCTTGTGTTTTCTACGTTAGCCATTCTGAAAGCTGTGAAGTGCTATCTCATTGTGGTTCTGACTGTTTTCCCTGATGATGAATGATGTTAAGCATCTTTCCTTGTGTCTGTTGGTCATCTGTATGCCTTCTTTGGAGAAATGTCTGTTCATGTCTTCTGCCCATTTTTAAAGACTTTTTGGTGTTGAATTGTATAAATTCTTTATATATATTGGGTATTAACCCTTCATCAGATATATCATTTGCAAATATCTTCTCCCATTCAACAGGTTATCTTTTTGTTTTGTTGATTGTTTCCCTTGCTGTGTAAAAGCTTTTTATTTTGAGGTAACCCCAGTAGTTTATTTTTGCTTTTGTTTCTCTTGCCTCAGGAGACATATCTAGAAAAATATTGTTACAACAATGTCAGAAAAATTACTGCCTGTATTTTCTTCTAGGATTTTTTTCATGACTTCAGCTCTTACATTCAGAGTTTTAATACACTTCAAGCTTGTTTTTGTGTATGGTGAAAGAAAGTTGTCCCGGTTTCATTCTTTTGCATGTAGTTGACTGGTTTTCCCAACACCATTTTTGAAGAAACTTCTTCCCGTTTCGTATTCTTGTCTCCTTTGTTGTAAATTAATTGACCCTATAATCAGGAGCATATTTCTATTCTGTTCATCTATATCTCTATTTTTGTACCAGTACCATACTTTTTGATTATTATAGCTTTGTAGTATATCTTGAAAACTAGGCTTGTGATACCTCAATCCTTTTTCAAGATTGCTGGCTCTTTTTCAAGATTGCTTTGGCTCTTCAAGTCTTTTTGTGACTCCATACAAATTTTAGGATTATTTGATCTAGTTCTGTGAAAAATGCTGTTGGTATTGTGATAGGAATTGTATTAAATCTACAGATCACTTTGGTTAGTATGGACATTTTAACAATATTTGTTGTCCCAGTCCATGAGCATGGACTATCTTTCATTTTTGTCATCTTTCTTTCACCAGTGTTTTATAGTTTTTGGAATATAGGACTTGCACACTGTTGGTTAAGTTTATTCCTAGGTATTTTATTATTTTAGTTGTAACTGCAAACGGGATGGTTTTCTTAACTTCTCTTTCTACTACTTAATTATCAGTATATAGAAATGCAATGAATTTATATATATTGATTTTGTATACTGTGACTTTACTGAATTCATTTATCAGTTCTAGCAGTCTTTTGGTGGAGTCTTTCAGGTTTTCTATATATAGTATCATGTCATCTGCATAAAGTTTTACTTTTTCCTTTCTAATTTGAATTCTGTCTATTTCTTTCTTTCTTTCTGTCTAATTGTTGTGGCTAGGACTTCCAGTACTATGTTGAATAAAACTGCTAAGACTAGACATTCTTGTCTCTTTCCTGATCTTAGTGGTAAACTTCTTAATCTTTCACCATTAACTATGCTATTACCTGTGGGTTTTCATAGATGATCTTTATTAAGTTGAGATATGTTCCCTCTAAACCTACTTTGTTGAGGGTTTTTATCACAGATATTTTACTTTATCAAATGCTTTTCCTGCATCTATTGAAATGATCACATGGTTTTTATCCTTTCTCTTGTTGATGTGATGTACCATACTGATTGATTTCCAAATACTGAACCACCTGGCATCCCAGGAATAAATCTCCCTTGATCATAGTGAATGATTTTTTCAATGTTTTGTTGAATTTGGTGTGCTAATATTTTGTTAAGGATTTTTGCATTTATGTTCATCAGAAATACTGGCCTGTGGTTTTCTTTTTTTTTGTAGTATCACGGTTCTTGTATGAAGGTAATGCTGGCCTCACAGAATGAATATGAAAGCTTTCCTTCCTCTTCTGTTTTTTTAAATAGTTTAAGAAAAATAGGTATTAACTCCTATTTAAATGTTTAGTAGAATTCACCTGTGAAGCCATCTGGTCCTGGAGTAGTGTTTGTTGGGGGTTTTCCCTGGACTACCTGAGAAGAGGAACGTTTATGAATGTCTGGGGCTGGTCTATTTTGTGTGTGACCGTGGATACTTACACAAACCCTGTCACCTCATTCAACAATGACCCTATAAGACAGTTACCACTTTTACCACTCTTTTGGAGTAAGAAACAAAACAAAAACCAAACTCCAAGGCTTAGCCCAGGTCTGTGGCTGGAATATGACAGACCCAGAATTTGAACCCAGGCCCCCTTGTAATATAGTGTACTATCCACCTTGGCTTTCAAGTTGGTTATATTTGCATATAACAAATCACCTAATTAGCAACCCAATGACAAATCCCCCTTTACAAACTGCCCATAAAGTACCAGATAGCATACAAGACACTGGGGGTGAAAACTGCTTAAAAAAAAAAAAAAGACAAGGTTCGTGGAACTTACATTCTGGTTATCCATATCCTATCCACCTGATATCACAGCTTCTACCTTTAAACACACACATATTCACAAGCTTTTGCCACTGAATTAATAAGAACTCACTGAATACCAGTTGTGTGCAAGACACAGTGAAATGGTGGTGGATGCTGAGATAGAAAACAGTTCTTTATACTTCATGATTACCTTATGGGTAGGAAAAAACCTTCCCCACAAGGGAAGGAGGGGGAAATCTTCTCCCTCCTGAATCAGAAGCTGGTAACTATGTAAGGTGAAAGAGTTGGATGGTGGGCACTACGGTTTCACCATGATGATGTAAATCCAGCAGGGGCACAAAAAGTGAAATTTTACAGATTTAGGCAAACTAAAAATCTTCAAGCATTTCTAGCTCCACAAAAAGCAGGTGCATTCATTATACCCCAATGCAGAGGCTCCTATTTCTACCCAAAATTATACCACTGTATAAGCAAGAATGGCCCTGAAAAAACAAAGGGGTGCTGGTGGATGGATGTTTCTAAATATAATAAGAAGGAGCTTCCCTTGAGGCCTGGCATCTGGTAGCAAACAAACTCAAGTCCTGAAATGTTCAACTGTATCACAGGAGCAATCGAAACCACAGCAGAAATTAAATTACTGAACGAAATGAATGCAAAGCTACTACTACTATCTTTTGTACAAGTTAATTCACAGTTGGCATAAACAATTACATTCATTTGTTTCTTTCTTTTTGTTGTTGTTGTTGTTGTTTTGGTTACCTTGTCCTTCTGGGGTTTCACCAAAGGGATTCACTTCCACCTGAGTGGCATCAATTTTCAGGAAGAGATTATACAGCTTCTTAATTTGATCTGCAGCCTAAATGAGATCAAGTACAACGAAATTACACCAAAGCAGTAAAAGAACATTTATTTTGCTGGATTAATGAAACCTTAAAAATACTAAGTTATGTCTTTATGTTCAGTTAGGTTTTCTGAAGGGAGAAAGAGAAAAGCATAATTATTTTAATTTCCTCTGCTATTCATTAGAAGGAATTGCTCAACTTTCCCCAAGACACCAGGAAAGATCATTATCAGGAAAACAAAATATTTTCAGTAGAGCCTAAAATATGTTGTTAATCTTTTCATAAATTTTCATTTCCCTATTAGCCAAGCTACAATGCAGTACGAGCCCCCATCAGTAATACAAACATTCTTCATTTAAGTAAAAGGTAAACATGATTTTGAGAGTTTATAATGACCAGGTTTTCCTTATTATGCTAAAATAAGACAGTTACTACATTCATCGGCCCAAACCCATAATCTGTTAAACAACAATTAGTGAGTGTCTAATGGAAAGTGTTGCAAGACAGGCAGACAAAAGTCCTACATAGTAGTTACTGAATAGCCTGGTTCAGACTAAATAGTTTGTCCCAAGGGCATAAGCCAAAAAGAACAACAGTATCCCAAGTTTCCCTGATGTTATGCCCTGACTTTATTTTTCTCAAGCTGCTTGAAATTCATTCACCCATTCATTGTTTTCAACCAACTTTTACTAATGGCCTATGTCACAGCATGCTGGCACTGTATGAACAGGGGTAAGGGGAAGACATCACAAATGAGGCCTGACATCAGCCTGGAAAGCTCACACCTGTAGTGACCATAGCCTATGATCCAACACAGCAAGACTGTACAGTTATGGCTGAAAGTTGGGGATAAGCCTCATGCTTGGCTCCATCTTTTTATTATTAAATTTTTAAAATTATTTTTTATCATTGCCTAGCTATAATTTTCCTTTGGCAACATTTTTGCTCATTGTTCCACCCTGAATTTTTTGCCCTCAGATCCAGTTCCGGCTTTTCCCCATCCCTATTATGTATTATCAGGGGAGCTGACGCTTGTAGGCTGAATTTCCAAGGCTCCTGGACTAGATGGTTTCCATCTCAGTTCAGCCAAGGGGAGGCAGCTGTAGGAGGCAAGAAGTAAGGGGAATGGAAAAGCTGGGGTACTTCTACCCCTCTCCTTCTGGTTTGCAAAATCATCTCTGCTGGCTATAGCAACCACCGGAAGCCCTCTAGGGTTCTACCCTCTGTATCCCAAGGTGCATAAATACCACTGCCTCACTTAGCTCCTCCAGGATACAGGGAGCCACAATTTCCTATTATGGCTTAGATCTACCTTGCCTCTGTCCATCCTGAAATTTCTCAACTCTTGAATCACCATGGAACCAATTCCCTAGAATAAAGTCCTACTGTGGTAAACACTGAGACTACCTTCTTTGCTCCACTATTGACCGAAGAACTCCTAGAAATAAAATTCACAAGGTCTTAATTTATTTTATATACATTTATAAACGTTCTTAAATCCTAATTTGAAACCCAGTAGCTATAAATAAACAAACATACATAATGAGTAAGCCTGAATATTTCTTAATATTGATTTCTTTCTGGCTAGATAATCTCATACACGAGACAAAATTCCTAAGGTACACATGAGTCACCCTTTAAACCTTCACCAGATCCACCAGTCACACAGCTCCCTGTGTCTTGTTTGGCAGCAGTCACCTTCCCAGCTGGTGCTTCACTGAAGGACAGTCTATGTATGTGCAAGTACACACTGTCTTCATTCACCTTATTAACAAAAACCAACTCGGTTCTATACCTTGTTTCTTTACTTAACAGAGTTTAAAAAGCCTTCATTAGCCACACAAATAGAGTGATCTCATTCTTGTAAGTGGCTACATAATATATTTTTTAATGTTTTTAAAATTTATTTGAGAGAGTGTGTGAGCGGGGAAGAGAAAGAGAGAGAGAGAATTCCAAGCAGGCTCTGCACAGTTATTGTGGAGCCTGATGTGGGGCTCAAACTCACAAACTGTGACATCATGATCCTGACGTGAAACCAAGGGTCAGGCACTTAACCGAATGAGCCACGAAGGCGTCACTACATAATATCTAGTTGAATGAATGCATCATAATTCAGTTTACCTGTCTCTTGAATAATAGCCATTAGGTTTCTAATAGCTTGACATTACTTAAAATGTGTCTTATCCATCTCTGTATGTATATCTAAAGGATAAATTCCCCAGAGTGGAGCAAAGAAAAGGGTATGGGGGCTTTTTATTTAAATAATAAAAGATGATCTTAAATAATTCTTGATAGAAGCTCTCACTAATTTCCCATTACACAAACCAGTATCATAGAAATTGTGTTTCTACTCACAACCATAAGTTATCAATCTTTGCCACCATGCCAGGGTGTCTCATATAGGTCTTTAATTGTAATTGCTCTTACTATTAGTTAATTTGAGCATTATTCTCTGAGCTTGAAAGACATCTGTATTTCCTTTTCGGTTAATTTTGTTCATTCTTCTATTGAGATTTTAGTCTTTGTCTCATTGAGTTATAAGAGTTCTTACATGAAGGAAATTAGCTCTTTATCCCATTAAATTGCCAAGTATTTTTGTCCTTTAATTAGTTTACCTTTCACCCATGGGTCTGTTACTTCTGCCACATGGAACAGTAATAATGACACTCTTCTTTCAGAGCTTCTTAGCTTTGGGTCAGACTTTATGAAGGATGGTCTCACTCAGATTCTCCAATTATTTTTTCAAATACTCTAAGATTTCTTTTATTTCATGTGTACTTTTTGTTTTTATATCCAAATGGATTTTGAGTTACAATGCACAGCTGATATGTAACTTGCTGCCAAATAGATTTGTACTTTGGGGGGTTTTCTAGGCCATCTGAGCATGCAAGGTTTTGCATGAAAGAGGCATGCTGGCTATCCTGAACACTGTGGCATCCGCTCTACCCGTACAGCCTCTGCGCAGAGTCAACACTCAATAAAATACTGGTTCAATCAATGATTCATTGAATAATAAGGGGAAACTACATAAGAGAAAACATTTCTGGGTACATACATATATAAGATCTTATACCAGCTACTTTAAAACTTTCTTCTTTTTAAAAATACACATACTATAAAATTCACGATCTCAATCATTTTTTAAGTGTACAGTTTGGCAGTGTCAAGTATATTCACAATGTCATGAAACCAAGCTCCAGAAGTTTCTCATCCTGCAAAACTGAAACCCTATACTGGTTAAAGAGCAACTCCCCCTTCTCCCCTCCCTTAGTCTGACAATGACCATTCTACCTTCTATCACTATGAATCTGATGACTCTAGGTACCTCAGAAAAATGGAATCATATTTATCTCTTTGTGACTGGATAATTTTACTTAGTACCATGTCCTCATGGTTCGTCCATGCCTTGTCAGAATCTTCCTCTTTCAAAGGCTAAACAACCTCCCATTGCTGATCCATTTATTTGCCAGTGGATACCTGGGTCACTTTAAAACTTATCAAGCCTTAGGGTGCCTGGGTGGCTCAGTCAGTTAAGTGTCCAGCTTCAGCTGAGGTCATGATCTCGTGGTTTGTAGGTTAAAGCCCCGCGTCGAGCTCTGTGCTGACAGCTCAGAACCTGGAGCTTGCCTTGGATTCTGTGTCTCCCATTCTCTCTGCCCCTCCCCCACTCGTGCTCTGTCTCTCCCAAAAATAAACAAACATGAAAAAACATTTTTTAAAAAATTTTTTTAATGTTTTTATTTATTTCTAGGAGAGAAAGAGAGACAGCGTGAGCAAGGGAGGGTCAGAGAGAGGGAGACACAGACACTGAAACAGGCTCCAGGCTCTAAGCTGGCAGTCAGCACAGAGCCCGACGCGGGGCTCAAACCCATGAACCGTGAGATCATGACCCAAGCGAAAGTCGGACGCTCAACCGACTAAGCCACCCAGGCGCCCCGAAAAAACATTTTTTAAAAAAACCACTTCTTAATCCTCTATCAATGTAGCTTACCACAGAGCCTGAATTTTCTATACATTAGTGGCACTGTAATTACATACTAACACAGCAGCTGGGGGTATTCACTGTTATAACTGTTCATTACTACACAAAGACAGGCCATAAGCATTTTTTTGAGCAGGACTGAAGCATGATTAGATTTGTGTTGTGAGATCTCTAAGGGATATGTGTTATAAAATCTGCGATGTAAGATCTAAAAAAGGGAGAACCAGCCTGGCTTGGAGACAGAATGTGCCCTATTCCAGAGGCTACCCAAGTAAATGGCTATAAAGGGTAGGCAGGCAGGCGAAATGTGTCAGTCTGAGCAGGTGTGATAATAGGAAATGGCAGGGCCTGGGGCAAGCTGAGGTTAGCTCCCCAGTTTTCTAAACATGTTCAAATTTAAAAAATAAATTAAACACAAGTCAAAGGAAACATTCTGCTGTCTGCCTTACAGGCAGCCAGTTTGCTACTGCCACCTACTTCCTCAGTTCATAACCACACTGTACACACTATTTGTTTTCTCTTCTTTTGCCACCAATTAATGTTATTTTAAGGTTGTTTGCTAAGCAATTTAAAAAATTACGATGCCTAAAATCAAATATCCTTTGGGCCATATGTACGAAACCCTGACAAATTTACAGGTACCTTCAAAAGTGTTTGAACAGCTTAAAAATTTTAGAAGTATTTTCATTTGACTCCAGGAACTAATATCATAAACGTTCACACACAGCTCTTAATGCTAGCCAGAGGGACAAACCATTCCCAGAGGCATAAGTGATCTTTTATTAACTGGGCCCATCAAATCTTTTCATCAGATTAAATACTGAAGTTGTATATTGACAATTCATGGTGCTTATGTTTCAGAAATTAATAGCATAGGGGATAACTAAGATACACTTAACAAATCTATGAATTTTTAGTTATTTTCAGCTTTCCTGTGGCTTTAATCTTTCCAACCAATTCTTGCTGAAATGAATTGTGTCAAGAACATATACTTGGCAGTTTTTGTACAAGCTGATTTTTTTTTTTTAAATCTAATGTGAATACCTCACTGAGCTCAGACAGAACAAGCGTGGGTTATAGGAAAAATAGTAGTAACTTTACAAGATAATCATTTTCTAAGTTGTTCATCCAAGAAAGCACTGCCTCCAAATGCCTAACCATACCCTAGATGAAAATTAAGTAACTTTCAAGGTCACACTGAATCTAAGGTGCCTTGAAGGTATCATTTCTTGACCAAAGGATCACTGATAGATGATCATTTAAATGTTTTCTGGGACGCCTGGGTGGCTTATTCAGTTGGGTGACCCACTTCAAATCAAGTCATGATCTCGCAATCCTGAATTTGAGACCCCCATCGGGCTCTGTACTGACAGCTCAGAGCCTGGAGCCTGGTTCAAATTGTTTCTCTCTCTCTCTGCCTCTACTCCGCTCATGCTCTGTCTCTGTCTCTCTCTCAAAAATAAATAAAAAATTTAAGGGGCGCCTGGGTGGCTCAGTTGGTTAAGCGTCCGACTTTGGCTCAGGTCATGATCTCATGGTTCATGGGTTCGAGCCACACATCGGGCTCTGTGCTAATGGCTACCTTGGAGCCTGGAGCCTGTCTTCAGATTCTATGTCTCTCTCTCTCTGACCCTCCCCTGCTCATGCTGTCTCTCACTCTCTCAAAAATAAATAAAACATTTAAAAACAAATGAATGAATGAATGAATGAATGAATAAGTAAATAAACCATTTAAAAAATTAAAAATAAAATAAATGTTTCTGCTTCTTGGAGTGCCTGGGTGGCTCAGTTGGTTAAGCATCCAACTCGGCTCAGGTCATGATCTCACAGTTTATGGGTTCCAGGCCCACATCAGGCTCTGCACTGACAGCTCAGAGCCTGTATCCTGCTTCAGATTCTGTGTCTCCCTCTCTCTCTGCCCCTCCTCCACTCATACTCTGTCTCTCTCTCAAAAATAAACAGAAACATTAAAAAAATTTTAATGTTTTCTCTTCTTGGGAACCTCCTCTGCTTACTGGACACTGGCTTTCTGGAACACTTCACTGATCTCTGTGGCTTAAGGACATATCCTAATGCAGAGGTTCCCAAATCTACCACTCCAGCACACATACAGTCTCCTTCCTACTGTAAATATAATCAGGTGTCCTTAAATGAACAAATCCCAACACACCTACAACTGAGATCCACCTCGCGCCCCTTCCTACTCCCTCTCCCTATAATCACTACCAGAACCTGACCACTGTTGTGGGAGCCCCTAGAGAACAATGGCTACTTCTCATCATCTCTGTTTCCCGAGATCCAGCAGAGTGAGCAGCACCCAGGCAGTGCTCCCTCCAATTCTGCTGAACAAATGGAGATTTAAAGCCTTTTGTTTAGTTGGCAATGGAAAAAAAAACAAGAAAAAAATGAATTTGAAACTTCTTTCTTTTCTTTAATACATTTAAGTCACAAATATGATGACATTATAGCTATTAATGACCCCTGGGAACTTGCATGCTCATCTTCCTTCCACAGGCAAATTCATTTAAAACCCAGAGTGTCTGGGGTACTGAAAAAAATGTGATTCAACCATATAAAGAGCGATGACTCTTGGGGCACCTGGGTGGCTCAGTCAGTTAAGCGTCCAACTTCAGCTCAGGTCATGACCTCACAGTTCATGAGTCTGAGCCCCGTGTCAGGCTCTGTACTGACAGCTCAGAGCCTGGAGTCTGCTTCAGATTCTATGTCTCTCTCACTCTCTGCCCCCTCCCCCCCCGCTACTTTCATGCTCTGTTTGTGTCTCAAAAATAAATATATATAAAAAAAAAAGAGCTATGACTCTTAAATTTTCTCTTATAATATGGAGAGTGGTGAAAAGTATCTTTTGGTGTCTCTAGAACTATTACTGCCTTCTCTAGAACTCTCTGTTACATTTACCTGAGTAGTCAAGACATGATATTAGCAGAATTGCCCACTCCAGATTTATTCTCCTGCCTGTCATCACCTCCCTAAGAATCTCTTCAAACTGGACATCCTGGACTTATTGTAGCACCTATTCATGCATACGACGAATGTCTGCAGGGCACCTAACATATGTGCCAAGGACTTTACTTCCAACAGAGCAGTGAGCAAGGCTGACAATGTCCCTTCCATGGTACAGAAGAAGATCTGCAAAGGTGATTGCAAATAAGTAAGACAGACAGGGATGTGCAAAGGTACATGGAGAAAGTAAACAGGGTTATAGAGCACATTCTGGAGCTGACTATAGGACAGCGTTGCTAGAACATGGTGACAGTATGGAAGAGTGGTCTCAGTGACCACAACTCCTACACAAGAAGCCCCACAATAAATGTCAAGTGGACAGCTAAGCTAATTCGTGACCTCATTCTCCGCAGGTGACTCCAACCACTGCAGCCCTTACTCAGGAATCCACGATAACTTCCTTTCAGCACATCACTAACTTGGCATCTCTTTGACAGTCTCAGAAGCGACAATTAGTTCCTGTAACTGTCCACAGAGTCCTGGTGCTCTCTCCTGCAAAGGTTTAGCCCAGATGTTCCTGCATCTTCTTCCATCTGGAACCTTCTGCTTTCCAGGGGAGGGTTTCCTTGCAAGTTCAAGCAAGTGCTGTCCTCTCTTAATTTAAACATATATATTTTTTAAAGTCTTACTCTGCTTTACCCTTCTGTGACTTGCCTACTGCCACCCTTCAATTTCTAGAGATCGAGTTAGTCTCAAGAAAAAGAAAAGGGTGTGAAATCTGTTTTATTAGAGGAATGTTGCCCAACTCAATTGCAGGAAATACTCTGGAACCATTGGGAGCCCCAGGGGAACACACACATACTCACATACACACTCACAGGCACATACACATAGTACCTCGGGTTATTAAGGCGGCTTCTCTTGGTAGTAGAGGAGGAATAAACAGCCAGTAAATTCTTATTTAACTGTGAGACAAAGAAGCTTGCTCATGTAAACATCCAATCAGGCCCTGTGGGCTGGACCAAGGGCAATGCAGGGCTGTGAACCTCAAGACAGAGTCTCTCCTTTAACAGCTCAGAGGACAATTTTTCTGTCTTTGAAGCCCTGGGATATAATTACTAAACTGGAATAATTTAAGCTGTTTTCAGTGAAATATCACTTTCAGGCCATTAATATTCATCTCAAATCCCATTAGCTATGAAAGAATAGCAATTAGTTAAGTAATGTGTATTATTAACAACAGTAACAGCTGACCTTTCTGGGGTACTGACTAAGCAGTGGTGTACTGAGCGTACTCTGCCCTGACAAGAGGCCTCTCACTTAGGGTCTCATTATCCCCCTTTCACAGATGATGACAGTGACATTCAGATGGGTGAATCAGGCATGCTGGGTGCCAGTACAGGATTCAAACTCAGGTCTGCCTGACTCTACAGCCTGTCCTTCTAAACACTATGTTGCATCATATAATTCATGGGCTGGCACTGCAGCACTACAGAAAAAACAAAGAGGCTAACATACACAGCAAAATGCAGGCGTCTGCATGCAACACTCACACCCAACCACATATCTACATATATCTGAACACATCTCATAAACATCCTTTTCTGGAATACAAGGGAAATATTTTTCTCCATCATAAACAACTGGGGGAAAAATGGTTGGACAATAAATAATCCTGTGTCCTGGAGAATCACAAACATCAGAGACAAGTAAGTAAGTAGCAACTGTTTTCTCAAACAAGGCATGCACAGTGGCCTCCAAATGCTCAGGTACCTGGTTTTTCAAAGGCCCAAGGAAGCCTAGGTTTTCTGCCATCCGTTGAGCTTGGCTGTCCTTTATCCCTTCGATAATGTCAATTTGTTCCTAGTAAAAATGAATAAAATAAGGAAAATTCAAGACAGGCAAATGAAAAGATTCACAACCAGGAAAGAAAATGCTCAGTATTTATTTGCAAATGAGTAATTCAAGTGTGGCATCTTTCCAGAGATCTCTGAGCAGGGCTACTGCAGCTGCCTATAGGGTATGTTTTAATTAGCAGACCATCTAAAACACAGCCTTTCCAAAAACCATATAATTCTTCAGGGTGGCATGCTGACAAGACAATCGGATGCCAGTTTTCACTTTTAATTACTATACAGATGGCACTGACGAATATTTAGTCAGTTAATTTTTATGACATCTTTTGGAAGGCTTCCAGAGTTAGGTTTTCCTGCCTAATATTGCTGTTAAGTTTAGAGCTTGTCATATGTAGGTTAAATATTACCATATGATTTAAACACTCTATTGATGATGATAATTATTAATAACACCTGAGCTCTACAAAGAGCCATTCTCTCCAAGATACTAAGCGCTATTCATATATATTATTTCATGTGTTCTCTTCACAAATGGAATGGCTTGTTTAAATCACAGCAATTTTGAAAATGCCCAGGTATTATTGGTAAGCCATCATGTAAAGTCCCAATTTAACTTCCAAGGTAGCTAACCTAAAAGAAGTAATGTCGGTGAAAATATTCTAAAACCAATCACCCAAAGTACCTGATTTAAACAAAGAGGTTTAAGAAATAAAATTCTTGTTTTTTGATTTTTTTAATATTTTACTTCTGAGAGAGAGAGACAGAGAGAGACAGCATGAACAGGGGAGGGTCAGAGAGAGAGGGAGATACAGAATCTGAAACAGGCTACAGGCTCTGAGCTAGCTGTCAGCACAGAGCCCAACATGGGGCTTGAACCCACGAACCATGAGATCATGACCTGAGCCAAAGTCAGATACTTAACCGACTGAGCTGCCCAGGTGCCCCTAAATTCTTGCTTTTTGAAAGGAAACAAAATCACGTTCTAAAAGAAATAATAAATCTTTCTGCTAAAAATTTCTAACGTGATTTTTTTTGGACACTCATATTCCAGAACTAAAAACCAGAATTACAGTTCTAAAGACCATAGAGTTTTCTTCTCACAGCTAAGGTAGGTTGAAAAGTACTTTGTGCACACCATCTCATTATTTCTCACAGTTCCATGGGATGGAAATCACTGAAGTGATTCAAAACAATGAGACTTGGAAACACTGAGATGCTTGCTGGTGAGTTAAGATTTGACTTCAGCCAGATCTGTGACCAGATACTAAGGGCAAGCTTTAAAGGAGTGAAGCACACTGATGGATTCAGGACCTCTGAAGGATTCTGGTTTACATAAGCTGTGAAGAGATGTCAAGGAAGTCTCCAGCTCACAGCTGGTCTCCCAGGAGAGGATTTCTGGATCGTGCACACTGTGCAGTAGGGTAGAGTTAACCAAGGGGAAATGGAAATATCAGTCCGCTCCCATTGGTTAATTCTTGAGGCAGGGGGGATGGAAGAAATGGGAAAAGAAGAAAAGGCAGGAAAGAGGAATAAAGGGAGGGAGGGTAAAAGCAAAGAAAAAGACCTCAGATAGGGAAAACCTTGGTTCTACCCAACCTCAACTTAGTGCTCAGTAAGAAAAAGGACTCATGGTCTTCATGCCTTAAATTCCAGAAACGAATATGCTGCTACCAGCCTCAGACTGCACATTAAATCTTTAACAGCATGTGCAACAATAGTCAATGAACAAAGCATAGCCAGGAATATAAACATACCTTAAAAATAAGCTCTGGATTTGAAGCTGCCACCTCTTCGATGTCAACACCCCCCTGAGGGCTGCCCACCAGCACGGGGCCGTTGCAGGACCGGTCCATCAGAATGGCCAAGTAGGTTTCTCTGGAAATGTCCAAGGCTTCAGCAACCATCACCTACCACGATAGGCAGGAAGTCAAATTAATTCAGCATCGAGCTCATTCCCACTTGGAAATCTATATAAACTTGCTACACAAATCAAACACCTTCATTCTGAGCACTTTAAACCCAGCGAGTTAGCTTCCAGAGATTTGAGAGTTCTGCTCTCATGGTACAGAAAGCCCATTTTCACCTTCCTAATTGATCCTGCTAACTTGCTCAAGTGACAGGTATTTGGTTTGCCTCGAGGAACTTTCCCACTTTAATCTTTTCTTTTTTTCTCTCTCTCTTCCTGGAGAAACCCTGACACTTAAGAAAAACTCCTGGGAAGTAGTTGTTATTGTAATTTGAGACATTAACGGTACATACATATTACCACATTGATTTTTCTCAGATCGCACTGGTGGAAAACCAAGCTTGCTGCCAAAGAAAGAATTCTTTTTACCGTACATCTGATCCTTTACATGTTTATATACCTCTATCTCGTGGATCAACTGTATTGCTAATTCAATTTATACTTCCTTTTAAATTACAAATATACTATTCACGTGTTCAAAAATAATGCAAAAGGGACTAGACATATATAAACGAGACAGTGAAAGCAGCCCCCAACTGCACATAATACAAGTCCTCGGGCCTTAGCAGTTGGGGTGATCAGGAGCCCATATGAAACCTTTGTGATCATCAGAAAAAGTTAGCATCTTTGGGAGGATACATCCCGTGCATGCGAGGACTGTGTCTGGGCAAGAGGCACATGGGATGGAAGGGTTTCACGCTGCGCTCATGGCCTTGGCTGGCTGTCTTGCTCAGCACACAACACAACTGTGTGTGGCAGGCCTACCAGGAAAAATCGCTGCCGACGTCTCCCCTCCCTACACATCTACAAGCATCACAGTAGTGGAACCGTCCTGTGCATGGAAGCATATTATACACACTTCAATGCTTTTCTTTCTTCTGGTTTTTAACATTAACACTACAACTTGGAAATCTTTCCAATGCCCTCTCTCTTCAGTGTGACTAGATGGTACTTATATGTCAGTATTTATTTAACCATGTCCCTAATGACAAGACATTTACGTGGACTTCAATTTTTCTCAAATGCTACCTGAGTGCTTATTTTTGTGCGTATATCTTCACTCATTTGTTTTAGCATCCCTATAGATAAGGTACCTAGAAATAAGATGGCTAGGCTTTAGACTCTTCATATTTAAGATGTTGACAAGTACTATCAAACTGCCTTAGAGAGAGAGGCTGTACCAAGTGACACTCCAAACAAAAATGGTAAAAGATGTCTTGGATGATTAAAAAAAAAGAAAAGAAAAGAATATTCATAATCAGTACTGGCAGTGAAAATAAGGATAGTACTTATATTACTTTTCCTAAAAGTCATTCAGTAATAGGTTTCACAAAAGAAAGTCATAGATTAAACAGCACTTCTTGTTAACTACCCAGATGCCAAAAAAAAAAAAAACCCACCAATTTTTAAGTCACATGAAATGGCATAAACATACGATGACTTAAAATGCTATAAAGTAATGAATTCAGAATTTCTTCTTTTCAAACACTTGTGGGATTTATCACCAGTTAAAAACAAAATACCTTATAAGAGGCATAATACTGATTCTTTTATCATAAATGGTAAATTGTGACTATGTAGGAAATAGTTCTTGGCACGTAGTGTTAGGATTTTCATAGAAGCATTCTGTTTTCAAGTTCACTTTCTACTAAGAGCTAGTCTAGAGAACAAGATTTAATGATTTTCAGTAGTTATTCTGAGAAGCAACACAACATTATAACTTTTTAGGATAAGTGTCATTCAAGAGTCCTATTCTTAATCCTCTAAAATGTTGACAGATGTGCTGTGCGTTCCATCAAATTTCTATTTGTGAAGACCAGCTGCTGTCTGAACTGACTCCTTCTTGGTGGAAATAATATATCACTCTTTAAGAAAACATTCCCAGGAAAATGATAATCATCAAGGGATAATTCAGGATACTTTATATCAAGACCACTTTTTCGACATCAACCATGCCCTCCCTATGGCCCACGATACCAGAATATTTGAGGTACTGTAACAGAGAGAGTCTAAATGAATTTCATGAACACTCTCATCCCACCAGGAACTCAGATACATTTCAGAAATGTGACTTCATCTGTGACTGACAAAAACAGTGTCATCAACACAGCCTTTTTTGCAGAGTCTTCCAGGAGAGAAAGCTTTTTCACTTACTTTACCCTACTGGACCATGGAACCTAGTTGGTTTGTTTTTGCTTTTGTTTTTAATATCGTGCTGTTGAAACTGCGGATGAGTACCAGTGCTCAAACTATTTTAACAGGACCATGATTAGATAAGCTTAAAAATATACGCAGTATCTGAATTTCTCTCGCTGTAGAGCAGTAAGCGTTGCTGGTACTGAATTGTGAAGAACATGAGGAGGAGCATGGTCTCACCTGCCCTATTATTATTCTAGGGAACACACCTGAAATGCATTGGCACAGACTAGAGAAAAAAATATCCAATGTGTATAAATGTACATATGTATGTTTAAACAGCTTCTCAATTAACCTTATAAACAAAAGTTCTGTAAGGGGTGGGGGGCTTCTACTGATATCTAAGATTTCATAAGTAAAAAAAAAAGTGCATGTTCCTTAAAATATAACGTTATTATTAGAGAAATGTGGTAACTTACATTAGACATAGAAGAAGGACAAAACAATATATGACAATATTTGAGGCTGGTGGGAATCCAAGGAACTTTTACTTTCTAATTTCTATTATTTCTGTACTACTGGAATTTTTTTATGTGTGTAAATCACTTTTACAATCAGGGGGAAATAAAAACACTACTTAAAAGTAAATCATTCTAGATGTTTCCTAGCAATGACTCAATGTACAGGAATGCACTTTAGTCTTTCAGAAACCTATCTACAAACTAATTTTATGCACTCCCTGACATACAAATCTGCTTTAAATATTTTTATATGCTTTTAAGAAGTATCACAAACTCTAATCTAAAAACAAATATATCCATATAAAACAATAATTCCTACAAACAAAATACTTACTTATCATGTCCTCTGTGGACAAATTTTGAAGAAGTTAACAAAGGCAAAGGCTCATAATCAGATTTGAAAAGCAAAAAAATAGTACTGTGTTGGGCCAAACAAAAATCAAAACAAAACACTTTTGAGTTTTAAATAGTTCTTACACAAGTGGTAGGAAAAGGAAAAGAGCAAAACCAGTTCTGTCAGTGTTCTTTCTCACCATTTATAAAAGCTTTACGTTCTCAGAATGAAGGAGCTAATGACCACCAGTATTTCCACCTTCCTCTTCAGGACCAAGATAGACCCTGTCATGGTAAGCTAAGTAAACCAATCGGCGATTTTTTTTTTTGTCATGTTAACAATTTTCCACACAACTCACCCTGAAAATTAGAAACAGAATGTACTGCCTCAGGTTCTCTGAGCATAACACACTGGCAGAAACTGAGTATATTTTTCATCTTCTCTAATCTGCTCCCCAATATGCTGGGCTCCCCGTTCACTGTTATGACAGGGCTTTCTAACCATCTATGCCTCCCAGGGCTGGGGCGTGACCTTTCCGTCACACAGAGGCCAAAACTCAGAACGGTCCCTCTCTTGGTCTCTTGGTGTAATATTGTTGTAATTGACTTGAAATGTGAACACAGGTCCCTGCATTTGTTTTTGCACTGGGTCCTGCAAATCAGGTAGCTAGTTTGGGCACCTCTATTGATCAGGAGGGTACATCAAAGGTGAACAGACTGACAGGAGCAGAGTTATGTTCTGGCCTTGGCTCCACCACCCACAATTTTATGACTGAGGCAGGCTCCAAGTTCTGCATGTGTGTGTGTGTGTGTGTGTATGATGTGTACCCTATATATACTTCTATACTTCAGAACCCCAATGGACCACTAATACTCCATACTTCCAGGGATAACATGGCTTTCAATGGTATTAATATCAAAGTAAGGTATAGGGATGGCTTAGAAAAACAACATCACAGGTAACTTTGACACATGATGAGGATGGGGCTGTAGAGCAGCAGAGAAGGTCCTGCACTGAGTAGGAAGAGCTGTCTCACGAAGCCCTTTCCAGCTTTAAACACAGTGTTCTGAAAGGCAAAGCAGTTGTTTTGATCACTCACCCATGCCCACTTTTACTAAGTGCTGATCATAATAAACGATAATACTATCACAGAACCCTTTTTATGTCTCCTCAAAGTCATACCTCAACCTAAATAGATTATATGAAGTTTAAAAAGCAAAATGGCAAATCACCAAAGTGCACTGCTTCATCAGACTGTCAAAACTGAAATGTGATTTTTTTCTTCTTCTTTCTAACACATATACAGAAAATGACCAAAAGCATTCATATTACCTTGTTAACTTTCACACCTTCTTTTGGAGTTTGTTTTGTTGCTAGATTATAGCCAATCATCTGTTTAGCCAGCTGTCCCACAACTTGAGGGCTAGGAGAGAGGGAAAAGGGAGGGAAAAAAGAACAACACATTGTCTATGCTGAAAATTCTTTTAAAGTGGAGTGCATGTCATGTTCTCATGTCCACACTACACCAGGACCGGCTCCACCCTCACAGAGTCCACAGGGCTTTCTGTTAATATACTAGGTGCCTAGCAAGGTACCAGAGGCTCAACGATAGCAATATATATGAGTAAAGGAAGGAAGGAAAGAAAGGGAAGGAGGGGAGGGGAGGAGAGGGGGAGGGAGATTCTTGCTTCCCTCTGCTATCCCCTCTCCCCAAAATAAGTTACATTCATAGCAAAAAGACAATACTGAAATGCATAACAGATTTAGGTAAGAGTTGAATAACAAAAACTTGACTTGGATAATGTGAAAAGTATTGGCCAATGAGGGCATAAAGTATGATTCAAAGTACATAATGAAAAGGCAAGTGACAGAAGAGGGGCACAGGGGCAGGGTTGCGGGACACGGAGACAGGCCATGAAATGAGAAGACTCGGACTATCAGACAGGAGGGACAACTGAAGCCACCGGTAATGAGGAGCCACTTGTGGACTCGGTAAAGGGAAGCGGCGATATGCTGGCAGCATTTAATGTGTGTTATCATTTTCAACATTTATGATGGATCACTGGTTGTCTAGGGCAGAAGCAGTGTTAGGTTTTTCAACAACTAGTGAGGAAAAACTCCTTTCGTGGGAGAAGGAAAACCGGAGCACTGCCAGAGCCCTCCTCTACCTGTAATTCATTTCCTCTACGTGCTACCTTCTGCTCCCAACCCATTCTAGCCATCTTTCTCAATGCTCCCATCAATCCTGAGTTAGATCTTCCATAAACACTTCGCCCAAAGACACCGAATTAACACCTCCAGACTTACTCTTTTGTTAAATGAACGCCTCCTTTCAAACCGCTACTGAAGACACCTTTTCCTCTTCCTCCAGCTAAGATCTGGGCTTTTAAAACAATTTCTTTTGCATCTGAAAAAAGAAAATCCAGAGTAGGTAGTGGATCTTTGTTTGTCTGTTTGTTTGTTTTTGAGCAAAAAGGAATGTGGAAATGCATATCATTTCCAAAAGTGGTAAAAGCTCTCTTAAACCAACTTTGAAAATAAAGGCATAAAGAACTTCCAGAAAAATAACATCAATGCACTTAAATACAAAGTCTTTATCAAGGGCATTAAAATATTTCCTACCAGTTTAATCTAATACTCAACCATCCCAAGAGAAAGCAAGGCATGTGTTCCCTTGCTCTTTTGAGTGTCAGAAGATGCTAAATAAATCCAGGCTGGAGGTATTAATTTTACTGTGTAATGACACTCCCATGTGGCAGAGGCACCAATCTGCCAGTCAGAAGAACTAACTACCTGTCAGCCAGCTGAGATGTCAAAGGGAAGACTGGATTACATAGGGGAAAGGTTTAAGACACGATGCAAAGGGAGCAGTTAATAACTGTATTCTTGGAAACCACCAGATTTCTGAGAGTTGTTCTATATATTGATGGGACTGGATAAGGGAGGAAGAAATGGATTGAAACTGAAAGCAAGCAGTATTTCTTTTTAAATTTTTTTTTTTTTAACGTTTTATTTACCTCTAGGAGAGAGAGAGAGACAGCGTGAGCAGGGGAGGGTCAGAGAGAGAGGGAGTCACAGACTGAAACAGGCTCCAGGCTCTGAGCTGGCAGTCAGCACAGAGCCCGACGCGGGGCTCGAACCCACGATCCGCGAGATCATGACCTAAGCGAAAGTCGGACGCTTAACCGACTAAGCCACCCAGGCGCCCCAGCAAGCAGTATTTCTGAAATGGTGGCAGGGTAACAAAACATCCTAAACGAAGGTGGCTGTTGAATTTTCGTTTCTTGACACACTCAAGAAACGGGGATGCTGCCTGTTTTTGACCTTTGAGACCGGAGTCATAAACTCAAATATCTTCTTCATGGGCCTGGCTTAAAAGCTGAATGAGTGAAGCAGTCCAGTGAGAGAAATGAGGCCTTGAGCAAAGAGGGACACTGGCATCCCCACCCACAAAAAGAAAAACAAAAAAACAAAAAAACCAGACAGCCCTCAAGTCAAACATGTTTCATAAAGCAAATAGTACACATCTTCAGCAACAGCTGGCACCTCTGTTTGTCATTGATCTTTGTCTAACATCAGAAAACTAAATCAATCTTCCTATAAGGTTCTTCTGGTTTTGCACACCAGGTTTAGAATCTGCAGACTGGGTTTCAATCAGGCCTCTGTGCCTCACCCAGCTGACGGCACCTGATAAGTTACTTAATGTCTCTGAGACTCCATTTACCCAATTGTGAAAAAATGATGAGGATCGTTTTAAGAATTAAATAATACATGTAAATACTTTATCACAAGAACCTGAAAAGTCATATAATTAATGAAAGACTACTGCCATGATCAATTAGTTCATTTTAATACGTTTCTATCTTATAAAGAATTAAAAGGATTATTTCCACTCAGGCAGATGGTGCAAAGAATAATAATAATAATAATAATAATGATGATGATGATAATGATGATAATGTTTGCTGGTGTCTGCCCCCATTCATGGAAGGTGAGGGTTCCACAAGTGTCAGCTATTTCTGCTATTTCTATTATTGTTCTTATTACTCAAGGCAAGCAGGCAAAGGTTTGAAGACAAGGAGCCACAGAGGGTTTTTTCATGAAGGCAACAAGGAGCTACAACAAGATTTGACATTATGACAGCACTGGGTAAGAAAGTCACTCTAGCTGATGTAGTTCGATTATGAAGGTTCTTTGTCTTTATTCATTGGTCTTCCCTTCCCCTAAATGTGCTTAACACTCGGAAAACCGGCGTTCATCTTCTCCCGGAAGCTAGCAGAGCTTCTTCTCTCCTGCCCTCAATGTCCTCCTCCACCTGTGCTGCCCTAGATATGAACCACCGTTAACATCAGTCAAACCCATGTCTTATGATAAACTGGCTCACATCAATCTGAGTAAAGAGCAAGGTAGGATGACAACTCATTATCAGAAACTCACCAGGAAAGAAACCAAGTAGAACGAATGTATTTCATATTTCAGCTACTGCGCCTAAGAACATCAGTAAGAGTAGGGACTCTGGAGTTAAACAGACCTAGTATCTCTAACTCTGCCTATCACTTTCTTTTTAGACAGGAGGAGACCGAAGCTCAGAAAGGTAAAAGTGATATGCCTGTCAGTAAAATGGTTATAATAATCTATAGTATTAGGATGATGTGAAGCATAAATGAAATATACTAAGTAAAGTGCTTATCTCAATGCCTGGCACATTAAAAAGAAGTCAAAATATGAAAACTATCATCACTAATTATTTTCAGCAATTTACAAAAAAAATAAAGGTATATAGGCAGACATTTCCTATTTATCTTTTGGAGCCATCAAGTAGAAAAAATACTGTCTACACAAATTTTTAATTGTGATCACTTCAAATTCTTTAAAAAGGATACCCAGCATTCCATTGCCAGTATCAATTTTCACATGCTTGTCACCCAGAAGAAAGAGATGCTTTTCTCTAGATCTCCAGCAGCAATACTTGAAAGCCAGACAGAATACCCAATTGGGCATTGTTAATTGGCTCTAGATAGGCTTAATTAAATCAGCCTTAGGCATAAACCATCAAGACAAAGGAACAGTTGTAGCTTCAGTGAAGTGCTCGTCAATTACGTGTGTCACCATTTGACCACATGTCAAAGGATTCCATGCCTCCACGCTGATAGACCAAACCACCATTTTGGGGACTGTGAAGCCATACTGGGACAAATGGCAAAAGGCAAAGGAAAAGACTGTATCCCATCTAGGTATATCTCCTGCAACTGAAACCCCAGGTCAAAAATAAGTTCACTAAAATCATCTCCTCTTATTAGATCTAAAATGCTAAATCAGTAATAGTACGTCAATAGCCTAAAAGAAAGCAAGTTTGTCTCATCTTGACTGAAACTCACTTGAAGTAATTTAATTCAGTTATTTACTCAAAGAGTAGAAAATTAAGCAGTCAAAACCTACTAAACAGTATCTATTCTTTTCATTCAGTATTAACCAGGCTGATTCATACAGTCACTATTTCCATTCTATTTAAAATAAATCTGATTTCTTTAAATACACAAGTTTCTGGCTTGCTTTTTGGTTTTCACATTCCCTCCCTACTCCCAAGCAAAATTACAGAAGAATATCCCAGACATGAAATCCAATTTTTGTCTTCCATAAGATGATTTAACCACACTTTAGGATAACAAGCTAAAAAAAAGATGGAGGAGAGAAATAACATCTACTCTAATAGATTTTGCATGGAAGTATACTACACTTCTATACTGATAACCATATTACTAGACTCCAAGGTAGTAAAACCCAGGTATGTATAACTCCAAATTCCTTGTCCTTAACTACTACTCTTATATGCAGCAGCCTAAATGTGCAATGCATTCACTTTATTTTGTTCCTTTTCTGGTGAGTTTCTGATAATGAACAATGCTCACGACTAGAATTCCACTTGGGAACTAGTTTACTATGATTTATATACATTTTAGGAAAAAAAGCACTGTGACATATTTGACAAGCTTAGAAATACATAAGATTCTCAACTACCATATCCCACCCCCCAAAAAAAACCCACACCATGGCTTGTTTGACTCTATTAGCCACATTAAAATAATACATTCTTAAATATTTTCCTCTCAATTCTTACTACAAGTTTCATTCTAATTACAATAACAAAGTTTTACACCAATTTTTATAGTCCTATGTTGGAAAACAAACATACTTAGAAGCATTATTAAATATAAACGGAAAAAAATTAAATTCATTAAGGAAAGCATAACCTAAGGAGAATAAATAAGAAATGTTTTTAATTAGACAAGCTTTGTAAAACTGGTTCACTGCACTTTTTAGAGACAGTATTCTGAAAATATATTTATCCAAAATCGTGCTTATAAGAAACAGTTCAGAACCATGCTGCAAAAGGACCTAGTAAATGTCTGAAAATGTTTACCAGTAATATCAGTAAGAATGGTATTTTCAGCTACCTATTTAAAACAGTTTAGTGAATTCAACATTGCTCTCTTCAAACTTATAAGAGCTTCCAGGTCATGTGGGTGGCTCAGTGAGTTGAGTGTCAGTCCACTCCTGATTTTGGCTCAGGACATGATCTCATGGAGTTTTTGAGTTGGAGCTCAGAGCTCAGGCCTGGGGCTCTGCCCTAACAGGGTGGAGCCTGCTTAGGATTCTCTGTCTCCCTCTCTGCACCCCTCCCACACTCTTTCTCAAAAATTCATAAATAACATTTGAAAAATGTATAGTAGCTTCCTAAATGCAAATGCAGCACTGTCCACCTGCAAACTACTAAGGTAACCATCTATTTCAAGTCAGTAACATTGGCTTTGTTGGGGGAACTATGATTTCCATGGTTCACTGACTGGAGCAAAATTGGAATATCCAGTTTTCAGCACAATTGCATGGCATAATTTCCAGCACAGCACGGTGATCACCTTTCATGAGGTTTGATAGGATTCTTAATTGAGAAAGTTACAATGTATTTCAAATTGACCTATTACTGGAAGGCAAGAAGGAGGAGGAGGGTAATTCATGAAAAGAGCTAAAAGATACTACAGAAAGAGGAACCTTTATAAAGGATATACAATTATAGGGTAATAAGTGCCAATTTCCCAAAGAAAATGAGTTAACTTCTGTGACTTCATTATGATCCCAGAACCCAGACCTAAAACTGGAGAGTTACCTATATTCAATTATAGTAATAGCTGCTGACATATGCCCAATGTCATCTCTGAAACTAAAACAATTATTTCAACTTTCAACATGTCTCATGTGGGCTCACCCAGTATTGGAACGGAGAATTTCAAACATGAAAGACGTGAGAATAAACTATTTCATCAATGGTTGCATCCTTTGACTGAATTAGGATTACAGATACTTGGCACCCCACCAGACTGCTCCCCATGAAGATTCAAACCCCACACA